TTATTAATAAAGAAACTGCCTTGGCCCATTTTATTGGATAGAAAATTAGGTAGGCGGAGTAGACAGAGGAGAATGCTGGGAAAAAGAAGCTGTGTGAGGAGTCGCCATGGTTCTCCCGCTCCAGACAGACGCAGGTTAAGATCCTCCCTGGTAAGCCAGCTCGTGGGCTACACAGAATATTAGAAATGGGTTAGAACAATATGTAAGAGCTAGCCATAAGGAACTGAAACTATCCGGGCCAGGCAGTGTTTGAAAGAATACAGTTTCCGTGTAATTATTTCTGGGCATAAGCTAGCCATGCGGGCGGCCGGGTGCCGGGGACGCAGCCCTGCCACCGCTCTTAATTCAACACTCTTCTGGCCTCTACAGGCACCTGCACAAATGGCATATGAACACATATGCATAAATAAAAATTAATAGGGTTTTGCATGTAGCTACAGCCTAGGCTGTCCTGAAAGTCCCTGCATGGTTAGACTATAACTGTAAGTCTAACAAGTGCTAGGATTACTCATGGGTCATCATGTCAGGTTGGTACAATATTTTCTTTTGTTTTTTGGTTTTTTGAGACAGGGTTTCTCCATAGCTTTTTGTTCCTGTCCTGGAACTAGCTCTGTAGACCAGGCTGGCCTCGAACTCCCAGAGATCCGCCTGCCTCTGCCTCCCGGGTGCTGGGATTAAAGGCGTGCACCACCATTGCCCGGCTGGTACAATACTTCAAAAGCCCAAATTAGACCAGCGAAACTGAACTACAAATCATCTCTCACAATCCCTAGCTCTCTTATTGAAGTGCTTACTCCTTACCCTCTCAGTACCGATATATCCCATGGGTGCCAAGCTGAAATTTCATAATCCTGTATGAAATTCCTTCCCCAACTGCCCAAGGAAAAGGTTAGATAGAGCTGAAACATCCAGAAAACTTATTAAAGAAAAACATTTAATGAAACCATTGAAAAATGTAAAACACTAGTCAGAAATACATCATAGTCACCAGAAGCTACAGTTCCCAGACTACTCCTCCCGGGGCTCTGAAAGCAGCTTGGAGCCCCTCACCGTTTTCTACCTTTTCAAACATCCAAGATGTGCATCTTATCAAGACAATGGCCTCTGGTGATACTCATTTACTTTGGAGGATGACCCGGCGGGGCTGCCCTATTATTGACACAGGCCAGTTATGGTATACATCAGATATCAAAACGCAGAATACTCTCACCAAGTAGAGGATATAGGGGTCATGAATAACAACTTAAATGGAACAAAAACATGATGTTCAAGTCCCTCCCAGGTCCAATGTCTTTTTGCCTGTGCAGAGCAATCAAGTGACAGTCACAAGATAAGCATCAGTCAATCCCTTGGTGTCTTCTGTTCTTCCAGCTGGCTCATGATGCTGGACTTGGGGCCTTCGGAAAAGACCTGCTCAGGTTATAATGCACATATCTGGAAGACAATCAGCCAGTGGCAGACCTAGGTTCACACTGAGAAAGCAGCTAAGTAGCTCACAAAGAACAGGAAAGGCCTGACTAGCACAGCAGCTCACTGCACTCGTCTGTATGGAAGTGGCTGACCAGGTGGCCAGATTTCCACTTGTCCAGTTTAACGTATCTCATGGCTTGGCACAAAACCAATAGATGAGGGGGAGTGTGTGAAGGTGAACGCTCTGGAGAGCTGGCACTATAAGGCAGACAGGTAAGAGTGAACTTCCCACGGCAGAAAGCAGCCTGCCTGCCTAGACACTGCAAATGGGAGGCTGTGGGTTGCCTGTGCTGGGAGAATGAAGTAACCGAAGTGTTGAGATGGCCTCTTTCCCACATCTTCCAGACTAGAGCGGGTGCATTCTCAGGCCACATCCTTAATTTTGTTGCTGGGACCTCAGCAATGTGTTTCAGGCAAGTCAAGCCAGAACAGGTCAGGACTAGTTCTGGAGGTAACATTGTCATGGGTAAGGGAACCTCTCCTGACTCTACTTGGTGGCAAATGTGGTCACCTGGATAACTCGAATGAGAGGTGGTGCTGGTGGTGGTGCTGGTGGTAGCCAGAACCCCTTGGGCATTTGTGGGAGGGAGTTGGTTTAAGATTGGGTAAAACTTTTTCTGGGCCCTGCTGTACTTTGGGGGTGAAGCATGGGCCTTGGGCTTCCCTTGCCTGCCTCTGAAACTTAACTGTCTGAGGAAGGAGGAAGCCCTTGAACCTTGTCAACCTATTTGCCAAAGGATTTGGGGTGACTACCTTCCCATGCCCCATCCTCATTTTCTGACTCTTCCCTCAGCCCCTCTGGTACAGGCTCTACTTCTTGCTCTCCTGCACTGGCCAAGCTCTCAGGCACACCTGGACCCTCAGTGGGTCCTGCCTGGCCTGAGCCAGAAGGGGCCAACACATTTTCATCTCTGTCGGTGACAGGGAAGACCTTGGCCTCGTCAGAATCAAGGCCTGCCTTTGTGGCACCATCAATATCAGCAGCAGCCTCAGCAGCTTGCTCAAGAACAGCAGCAGCAGCCTGGCCAGCAGCTTCACTGGCTGGAAGGGCCTCTCTAACAGCAGGAGCAGGCTCAGTGCCCCCAACACCAACAAGGACAGCCTGGACCACATCCAGCTCTCCATGCACTTCCACCCCTTCCCCTACTTGGACCACTGCATTTTCTTCCAGAGCTGCCTCCCATGCCTCAGTCTCCCGAAAAAGTCTGAGCAGCCCAACAAAGCCAGGTGGCCGCCTCTCCAGTCGCATTCTCCTCAGGTTGTTCTGCAGCATCTGGTTGGGCCGGGCTCGCATTAGCACCTGCCGTGCCCTCACCTGATCCATCATTGCAGGCTGAATGGCCCCCTTCTCCACGGCCATCTGCAGCAGACCTTCCAGGCGCATCACATAGGCAAAGAGCGTCTCCTGAGGCCCTTGGGAGCAAGTCAGGAACTTCATCTGCGCGGTCATCACGGAATCCTTGTTGCCAAACACCTGCACCAGTGCAGCCAGGCAGTCCTGCGCAGGGGTGTCTGGATTCTCTTCCAGAAGCTCACACAGGAGATTCAGGGCAGGGCCGCCCAAGCTCTCGACCAGCCGCCGACGCCGTTCCGTCTCGGATATGTGGCGCCACATGTATAGCATGTCATTGGCGTGGTCCAACCAGCTCTCGAAAGACAGACCCCCACAGCCGGGCTCTTCCATCCCAGAGAAGTGCCTCAGCTCCTGGTAGGCCATGTTTTCCAGGATAGGCTGCACGGCTTGGCCCCAATGCTGGATCCAGGCTCCAGCCCCATGTGCCCCTCCTGCCACATCAAAGGGCCCTTCCTCACCCGAGCCTCCTGCCTCACCTGCGGCTCCTGCCAATCCCACGGCTCCTAGAATGCCTGCAACTCCCATGTCACCTGCAGCTCCCTCCTCATCTGACAGTCTTGCCTCACCTACTGCTCCTGCCTCATCCTCTCCTACAGCTCCTGCTTCTCCCACGGCCCCTCCATCATCCACAGAGCCTTCATCCCCTGCAGACCCCTCATCGCTCCCAGAGCCCTCATCACCTGCAAAACCCTCATCATCTCCAGAGCCCTCATCACCTGCAGACTCCTCATCACCTGCAGACCCCTCATCACCTCCTGCTCCTGCCTCTAAAACGCCTCCTTCTCCTGCAGCCCCTACCTCACCTGCAGCCCCTGCCCAACCCATAGCTCCTATAACACCTGCGACCCCCATGTCACCTCCAGCTCCCTCCTCATCAGACATGCTCGCAGCCCCTGCCTCAACTACATCATCTTCCCCATCCACAGCCCTCTCGTCTGACAACCTTGCTTCATCTACTACTGCTGCCTCATACACAACCCCTCCCTCATCTACAACTCCTTCCCCATCTGCCCCTGCTCCTTCCTCATCTGGCATGCTCGCCTCAGCTGCAGCTTCTTCCTGGGCTGCTCCTCCTGCCTCACCCGCTCCTTCCTCACCTTCTGTTTCTTCCTCTTCTGACACTCTTGCCTTGGCTGCAGCTCCTTCCTCCAGTAGGAAGGGGGCAGGAGGAGCCACATCTGCTCCTCCTTCCTCACCCTCAGCTCCTTCCTCAAAAGGTACTCTTGCCTCATCCTCGGCTCCTTCCTCAGCTGCTCCTCCTGCCTCACCCACAGCCCTAACTACATCTCCTTCCTCCATTGTAGCCCCTGATCTACCTGAAGCCCCTGCCCCACCTGAAGACCCTTCCAAAGCTTGCCCGTGAGCCTGTGCAGGGAAATTGACTGTGTCCTGTAGCTCGATATCAGGGACCCGAGGCAGGAAGATCACAGTCCAGGGCCCCCTATCATTTGGTATTTGTTGGGGGATCAGACTTTGGTTTAAATTGTCAGCGAATTCAACCAAAGCGACCTTTGCCCCGATCTCTTTTCTGAAGACCTTGCCAAGCACTCGGTACCTGCCCAGGGGCCTGAGGGCAGCCTGCACAGCCTCCTGGAATTCTTCTTCCTCACAGTCATCAGGGATACCCAGGATGAGCAGGGAGCGCTGGGCATTGGCACCCATCCACCTGCACCAGTCCTCAAGAATAGCCAGTCCCATGGCAGTGAACTTGGAAGGAAACATGACCAGACAGGGATGTGTGCTGGAAGCAGGCTTCTCCTCCTGTAAGTGGAAAAGACAGAAAGGCATATTGATGGCAGGCAATCCAGGTCCCACCAAGCTTCCCCATAAAGTGCAGAACCAGTCCTATTAGGTCCATTTTGTTTAGTTTTAAGAAAATCTTTAACAAATTAAATCTATTTACAGTATTTTATCTAGTGGCAGTTCTAGTATGCTCTGTCTCCTGAAGAAACCTGCAATTTGTAAGTTTTCAAGCTTTGGTGAAAATCCACACTTAACATTCAATTCTCTTTAAATGTCTGCATAGCCTGATACAGTGTCTTCTTTTCATTCTTGATATTAGTTTTTGTTCTTTTATCTTGATCAGTAGTGTTCATCAGTTTTACAACTCTATTTTGATTTTTCAAAACAGAGTTTCTCTTTGTACCCCTGGCTGTCCTGGAACTTGCTCTGTAAATTACACTGGACTCGAACTCAGAGATCTATCTATCTCTGCCTCTTGAGTGCTGGGATGAAAGGTGTGCGCCACCACCACCCGGTTCCAGTTTTACAACTCTTTAAAGGAACATTTGTGTTTTTTGTATACATTGCTGATATCCTCACTTATGTACAACATTTCTTCATTTGACACTTTATAAATTAGATTTACTCTTGGTCCTGACTCTAGTTTCTTTAAACTGACCCTTACATCACTATCATACGCATTTGTTCTTTACTTTTTGTTACATAAAATTTATCGTATGTCTGTGAGTACATGTGTCTTATCAAGTGCCCTATAGAGATTAAAAAAACAACTTTCAGTCTTGGAGAGATTAGGGATACAAGGTTCATATCTAAATATAATAAAAGTAATATACAGCAAGCCAACAGCTAACATCAAATTAAATGGAGAGAAACTCAAAGCCATACCACTAAAATCAGGAACAAGACAAGGCTGTCCACTCTCACCATATCTCTTCAATATAGTGCTTGAAGTTCTAGCAATAGCAATAAGACAACATAAGGGGAGCAAGGGGATTCAAATTGGAAAGGAAGAAGTCAAACTTTCATTATTTGCAGATGATATGATAGTGTACATAAGCAACCCCAAGAACTCCTACAGCTGATAAACACCTTTAGTAATGTGGCAGGATACAAGATCAACTCCAAAAAATCAGTTGCCTTCCTATACACAAAGAACAAAGAAGCAGAGAGGGAAATGAGAGAAACATCACCTTTCACAATAGCCACAAATAGCATAAAATATCTTGGGGTAACAAGGAAGTGAAAGATCTATTTGACAAGAACTTTAAGTCTTTGAAGAAAGAAATTGAAGAGGATACCAGAAAATGGGAGGATCTCCCTTGCTCTTGGATTGGGAGGATCAACATAGTAAAAATGGCAATTCTACCAAAAGCAATCTATAGATTCAATGCAATCCCCATCAAAATCCCATCAAAATTCTTCACAGACATTGAGAAAACAATAATCAACTTTATATGGGAAAAAAAAAACAGGATAGCCAAAACAACACTATACAATAAAAGTACTTCCGGAGGCATTACCATCCCTGACTTCAAATTCTATTACAGAGCTACAGTAATGATAACAGCTTTGTATTGGCATAAAAACAGAAATGTTGACCAATGGAATTTAATCGAAGACCCAGATATTAACCCACAAACCTATGAACACCTGGTTTTCAACAAAGGAGCTAAAATTATACAATGGAAGAAAGAAAGCATCTTTAACAAATGGTGCTGGCATAACTGGATGTCAACCTATAGAAGAGTGAAAATAGATCCATATCTATCACCATGCACAAAACTCAAGTCCAAATAGATTAAAGACCTCAATATAAGTCCCACCACACTGATCCTGATAGAAGAGAAAGTGGGACGTAGTCTACAACACATGGGCAGAGGCAAACACTTCCTACGTATAACCCCAGTATCACAGACAATAAGAGCAACAATGAATAAATGGGACCTCCTGAAACTGAGAAGCTTCTATAAAGCAAAGGACACTGTCATTAAGACAAAAAGGCATCATACTGATTGGGAG